TTACCAAATAATTAAGTTTTTCTGCCTTCATTCTAATTGTGTGTATGTATATATATATATTAGTGTGTAATATATATATTAGCAGTTACTATAAAATAAATTGACACATATATTAAATATATATATTATTTTTCTTCAAAAATTATATTATACAATATATATGTATATAATAGTAAAAAATATGTTTATGCATGTCATATAATTCAGTTATATATAACAGTAAAAAAAATATGTATATACACATATACATGCAATTCACTTCAAGTCTGGAGTAGAATTTCCCAGATAACATCGTAAATCTGTTAAAGTTGATTGAATTATTTTGGCTTTAATAGATGCTTTACCTAATCGTTGGTGGGCAGTATAACGATGACAACCACCGAAAGAGTAATAATAGTCGCCACCTATAATATAATCAATAAATTTAATTATTTTTCCTAAACTTCACAATGGTTTGATCTCATTTGTTTATAAATTACAAAACTGGCACAATTATAATTCATAAATTAGTAAGAATGTAAAAACCATGATAAAAACTACTTTTCACGCTGCTATATTTTAATAATTTTACCTTCGCTTCCTTTGATCCATAAAACGTCGATGGGCGGTACTGTGTCCTCAGTTTCAACGTTTTTCAACGCATTCATTAAACTTTCGACCTTTTCCTCGTTCACATCGGCAGGAAAAGGTCTGATAATTATGTTCATTGGAACATCGTGCACCTCTGCAAGAGGACTTGAATGAATCGAACTGACTATTTGGCATGCACCCTTACGTATCATTTTATTTAACATTTGATAATCTCGTGATCTCACGTATCAATGTGCCAATGAATAACGATTGACGAATAATTTTTACTATTGCATCAGAAATTAAGAATATATTATATCAGCAACCTTTTTAAAAATTATTTTCAGAAAATCATTTTCAGAAATATAAATAAAATATTGCGAGTCATAATGTTTATTTCGTTTGTATGAAATAGAAAATTTAAAATATATTTTTGATCTTAAGCACAATGGATCGCAAAAAATTCACAGGATCGTTACGTATTACTGTTATATAATCAAGAACAAATTAAAGAAATCTTTCATTGCCTTCCATCAATCTGATCGAATCGATCAATGATAGAGAAATCAAAATTGATATTTATGTACATTGTGAACTGACAAAATATTTCTAACCTCGATACTATCTTTAGGTTAGAAATTTTTTGATCAATTAATGAATACGATCAATCTTGCGCCAATTTTAAATTCTCTTTTTTACAATAGGAATTTCCTCAAAAAGAACAAAAGTACAATATTGTACATACATATGTCTAAAAAGCGATTTTTTTTTATTTCAATCAAATTAAAAAATTATTAAATATATTTGTATATCTTGCTTATACTGTTAGTTTTTAAAGATACTAGTATTCTTTAAATCTGTTTTTAGATTAGGATTGTATAATAAAATTGTAAGATAAGGTTTAAGTTTTTACTTATTTTTTTTATATTTACATATTATAAAATAGAGAGAAAATATTGATTACACATTTCTTAACAGTAATTGATTGCACTTTGTTATATTAATCCTATCAAAGTATTGAGAAATAATAAGCACCTGATAATTCATTAAGCACTTGGACAGCTTTAGTAACCGTAGAAAAGAATAAATCTTAACATTGCAAATTTACAACGTCATATAAATATAAATTACAAAGTCATTACATCTATGTACAAAATCTGTTTTAAAATTATTATAATTACATGTATTTATTACAATTTTTCTAGAAAAATTAATGTGCCTTTTATACAATACCTGTACGCTTATTCAGTTAACATCACAGCATAATGCTGAAAACGTAAAAAATATGATACAGCTGCAGGTTTTTAAAAATAATATATCAATTTATATTCTTCTGAGAACAGCCTTCTACCTTTTCAACATTGTACAAAATTTCCAACGATAAAATTCCACTTTACCTTTACTTACTCCATTATGAGTAATTATGCATTTGTTGGTACTGCAGCATTATGGTAATAATAGAGAATAATAATATAGCGCATCAATATAAAACTAAACATATATAAGCAAAAATCATTAAGTATTATGGTGAATAATGCGAATGATACTTTAAATATATAAATTAATCTAGGTTTGACATTGCACAACATCAAAGCAATAACTAATAAACTGTTGTCTTGTGCTTCATATAATGTTGTACAGCTGTATAAATGTCCCATCATCAATAATAAGTAAGGTATAATAACTGCCTGTGAATATATGAACATATATAAGTTATCAACATAAATATTTCAATGAAACATAAGTTTGTATACACAAATATATATACTATTGTATACCTGTCCAAATAAATAGTCAAGTTTCAGCACTAACAAAATATTGACAATTCCAGCTAGCAAAATAAAACTAATACGATTGAATAATAATGTATATAACATAAATTTTGATTTAGATGTTTGTTCTGATGAATGCATATTCTTATTGCTGATGTCATTTAAAAAACTTTCATGTCTGTTGTCAAATCTTGTGCAATTTTGCAATTTTGTGTTGCTACTGATATTGCATACACCATTTCTGATATTGTCCTCTCCAAAATTAGATTCTGCTTTCAGACTGTTGCTTTCCATTTGTGAATCATTATCTGCAAAATATTCTGAAACTGTATCTGTTCAAATCAATTTACCTATATCTATATTATATATTAAAAAAATACTAGTAAATACTCAGAATTACATGTTTATCTTTTTCTACTTGATAATAGACAGAATGCTAATATAGAAACATAGAACAATTTAATCAACAAAATATATACAATGATGGCAAATTAAGAACAAAAATAGAATTAGATATATTTATTATATATGGTTTAATGCTGATTAACAGAAATACATTACACAAATTTGTTTGATTTCTAATATCTCTTATTGGTTATGTTTACCTTTGATTTCGATCGGATTAACTCTCCCTGTAATTCTGCGTAGACGACTTTCTGAGTTTTCTAATATTCGTCGCCTTCTCGCTTCTCTCTTAGCGTTGATTTCAGCCATCATATTTCACACAATTAAATACGATAATTTAATACGCGAATCCACGTGAGCCCTTTTGTAACGTGCACATTCAAACTGCACGTTATTCAAGAAGGAAATAGCTGAAGAAAATAGCCAAAGAAAATCAAGTGACATAAATTTCTGATTGTTTACGACACAATGACATGGAAAAAACGTGCTTTCACGATTTCACTATTCTTCTTCTTTTTCTTTTTGAAAGCAGATTTTTTTTCTATCGAGTATTTACAAGATTAAAAAGAAATTAGAGGTTAAACTAAATAGACTTATTCACTTTATTAGTTTTTAATTGCGTGATTTGTAAACAAGATTAATTCTCATGACTAAACTTCCATTTGAAGTGTGTATTCCAGTGATTCCCAAATATTCTAGACGAGATTTTGTTCTTTGGATTTGTAAATCTGTTCACGTTACTTGAAATTTCCCAGAATTTTTGCACTTAAAATGAGATAAATATATATTTGAGTGTTGAAAAGAGAGAAAAACGAAGATGCTAAGTGCAAAAAGTGCAACTAACGCAAACATCTTTTGTTATTCAATAGATACTTGTACACAGATTGTATTTATATTAAATAAATATAATTTCTAATTAACAATAGATGATATAATATATTTAACTTTTTTTACCCCGTCAGTGCATGTACGTATATACTTGAAAACATGAGTAAAAGAAGTTGAAAGAAATAACAGATATTAGAGCAATTTTGATTAAACTTCGATTGATTAATTAGCAATTAAATTATCGAGTAATCTGGATCCTTAACATGGATAGACGATATTAATTTTTTGACATATAGAAATTTAAGAAAATTACAAAAATTAAATTAAGAATTTGTAATTAGAAATTTTGTCGCAAAAAATTTTAGGATAATTTCTTTCTGATTTCAGTTAATTAAAGAAACAGTAAAGAATCGATACAGAGAGTAGTGTTAGATTAAGATTTTTAAATTATCAAAAGGAAGAATATAAGAACGAATGTTTGATAATATACGGAAGTGCAACTATATTGCCGACTCATTTTCTAGATGTCAATCTCTTTTTCCTTAAGATTCATTTTCTGGATCTCTTTTTCATTAAGAATAAGAAATTACAAAAAATATAAGAAATTAGATTAAATAAAAAGTTAATTTCAATATATATATAAAAACCGTTTCAGTTTTGACAAAAAAAAAAATAAAAAAATTATAAGTTGAAGTAGTTTCTCTTCTAACGAATTTTTTTTCTATACATTTATTTTTTTATCTTTTCTTAATACGGAAATAAAGAGACTAGAGACGTAATGGAATAAGTGGCACGCCACATTTTTATTATTATATTATGCCATTTTATAAATGGAGATTGAAGAAGAAATCCAAAATAAATTTGTGCATTTCTGTCAAAGTTAGGATACTATAATATGGATAGATGGACTTTG